GGAAAGAGAGAGGGAGGGAGAGAGAGAGAAAGAGAGAGGAATAACTGTTGCTGACAGGATGTCTCAAAAAAATATCGAATCATTCCCCACAAGGCAGAAACAAACTGGGAGAAAATACGGGGACAGGAGAAGGTAAAACTGAAAATACAAGGGGTTTTCCAAAAATCCATGCAGAATGTATATTGTGAAGATTTCAAAAATAGTGTATCTAAGTTAAGTCCTACTTTAATTCCATTTTTTCCATGAACTTTGTGAAGTCACCTTGGACTTACAGGGCATCTTCACAGACTAGTCCTGCAGTGAGATAAATTTAGACTAAGGAAATTAATTTGAGCTTAAGTATAGACTTTTGCATCAGTAATAAATGAGCTCTCTCAGGGATAGTGTGTAGAATTAAAGAAGAGTGAGCTTTCTTCAATTCTCAGTCTGTTGATAGCTGGTGTGTAACAATGCTAACGATTTTTTTATATTGATTTTGTATACTGCCCCTCTCCTGAATGTTTTTCACTTCTAGAAACTTCTTTGTGGATTCCTTTGGCTTTTCTCTGTAAATAACCATGTCATCTGCAAATAAAGTTAATTTTACTTCTTCTTTTCCTATTTGAATGCCTTCTATTTCTCTCTCTTGTCTGATTGCATTGGCTAGGATGTCCAGTACTGTGTTGAAAAGGAATGGGAAAGTGGGCAGCCTTATCTTGTTCCAGTTTTTAGTGTAATTGCTTTCAGCTTTTTCAGCTATTCAGTTTGATGTTAGTTATGGATTTGTTATATATGGATTTTATTGTGTTGAGAAATGTCCCTTCTATTCCTATTTTTCTAAGAGTCTTAATCATGAAGGGATGCTGTACTGAGTCATCGGGAAAGTCAAGATGATTTTTTGCATTAAAAAAAAACAAAACAGAAAAATGGGGAACGAGCAGTTAGACTAATGGCTATGTCGCTGGACTCCCACGTAGTCGACCGCAGTTCGCATCCCGGACCCGGTGGCTTAAAACTCACACCAGGTGCGTGTGCGTGTGTGCCCAAGATCCCAAGAGAAGAATGGAGGAGAAGGGATTGCGGCGTGGCCATCACCCCTGGGAGTGAGTTCTCGCTTTCTGTCTCTCTGTCCCTCTCTGTCTGGCGAGCGCACGTGCCCTATAGCAAAAACCTCTTAAAAAAATAATTAATGAGTAAAAAAAAAAAAAAAAAAAAAAAATCTCAAAAAAAAAAAAAAACCCACAGAAAAATGGATCATGATGTTCTGACAACCTAATATTTTATCAAATGCTGTTTCTGCTTCAACAGTAATTCCATCCCTGGGTATTTACCTTCAAATAGGAAAACACTCAGTTGTAAAGACGCTTGCATATCCATGTTTACTGCAGCATTATTCACAATTGCTAAGACACAGAATCAACCAAAGCGCCCAAGAGTGGATAACTGGATTGAAAAAATGTGGTACTTATGCACTACGAAATACTACTCAGTGGTAACAATGAGACCGTGTCATCTGATACAAAGTAGATGAATATAGTAGATTTAATGCTGAACAAAGCCAGCCAGACTATGAAAGACAGACGTATGTCCCCACTCAATACATAACATATGTCTGCACTTTATGTCAGAGGCTGAGAGATTAGAAAATATAGTAACAGAGATAGCAGGTGCAGATCATAGACTACGTAGGAAGGTGTGGACAGCTGCAGATAGGAAGCCTACTTAAACATTATGAATGGGAAATTACTGTACATGGTAATATCTTTTTTTTTTTTTTTTTGCTATAGGGCACATGCACTCGCCAGAGAGAGAGAGAGAAAGCAAGAAATCACCCCCCAGAGGGGGATGTCCACGCCGCAATCCCTTCTCTTCCATTCTCCTCTCGGGATCCTGGGCACGCACGCACACGCACCCGGCGTGAGTTTAAGCCACCAGGTCCAGGACTCGAACTGTGGTTGACTACGTGGAAGTCCAGCGACAAAGTCATTATGCTAACTGCTGGTCCCACATGGTAATATCTTTGACTTTCTTGACATGCAATGCATTTATGCTTTGAGAACTCACATCATATGCTATAAAGATATACAATGATTAAGTATAAATTTTAAATAAATAAGAAAAAAAGAAAGAAAGAAGAGAGCAAACATGGTAATTCTAGGAAGATTAGCACTTGAGGAACAAGCTGGGGAAGGAAAGGTCAGGATGGAAAGAGGTGGTGCTGATGTAAATGAAGAAGCACATCAGCTCACACTGGCTTGTTAGCCAGCATGGAAGGAGGCTGAAGGAAAAGGAGATTCCAGTAGCACTGAGTGCTCCGAAAGACAGTATGACAACATGGAGATGACGGGCAAACAGAATGAGCAGTTTCAATGAGGACACTGAGTAACAAGGAAATGTACAATATATAGTGATTCAATGAGAAAATGAAGCCAGGAAATATAGCAGACCCTTGCCATGGCAGGACTATAAAGAGGAAGAAGTATGGCATGAAATACAGACAACTGGGGTCAAGAGTCAAGTGGAAGAAACGAGAGAGGGAAAATGTCCTTGAATACGAAAGCGGGGTTGGGATTCAGAGCGCAGGTTAAGATTCAGACAGCAACAGAGGCATCACCCATAAAATAAAGAAGGAAGGGAACAATGGCAGGGATGATGAGATATTTATGATGGTGATAAGAATGGACTCTGTGAGGAGGAAGCACTTTCTGTGCCTTGGGTTTTTATTATTATTACTATTGTAAAAAGCAGTTGTAGTTGTACTGATCTCAGTTCTACAGTGAACATTAGAGACCGTGTAGTCTAGAAAAACGGCGCTTAGTACATATTAAGCTCTCGAGTGTTGATATCATGATTATCACTGCTATTACCATTTCCAGGTCAGCAGCAGGACTGTGAGAAGAATTTTCTGAGGGTGCTGTCTGAGGAGGAAGCTGCCACCTGAGAGAAAGATGAGATTGTGAGCAGCAACTTAGTAAAGAAGAAAGGCAGCTATCCTGAGAAACACAGGAAAATTCAACCTCCTGGTTGGTGACCTGAAGTTAAAAGCTCTTGATTTTTCCAAATTGGAGAAAAGCAGGGCAAGAAAGGAAAAGGTTGGCATAATTTACAGCTGGAATTAGGCAGTATGGACACCAGGGAAGGACCAAAAGAAAGTGGACTCAGAGGCTAGCAAGTGGGGTTTTCAAATTATCAACCATGAAGTTCCTAGACAGTAGAGGAGTAAATTTGGCCATAGGTAGAGCTGGGATGAATTTGAGTTCTTAAGGGATTTTAAGCAAATAGACGTTAAGAGAATGATACGGTATCAATCAAACCTATCTTGAATGCTAAGATTTTCAAATTAGATAAACACTTAAGAGATGTAGTTATAGACATTGTTTAAGCACAGGGGTGACAAAGGTCACTGAGGTTAAAATATTAGGAATATAAGGCTATGTCTCCTATAAATCAGGAGTTCGCCATGCTAGATGCACATCTGAAACCAGGTCTCACCCCCCAGGGTACCCACTTTCTTTGTTTCAGGAATAGGATTCAGGTTTCGATAATCTTAAAAATGTCCCCAGATAAGTCGTCTTTGTAGTTACGGCTGAGAAGCTTTACAGAAGCAAAATCAATTATGGTATTGATATATGCCAAAAGATCTTGCCCAATGATGACAACAATGATGATAATATCAATAATAATGTTATTGTAGCAGAGTAGTAGAACACTGACACTTAGCCCTACTGTACTAATATTCCAGGCAAACTAAGCCTTTTTAAATTCAATGTGATACAAATGTCAATTTTGCAGGCTGGGAAATTAGCCACGAGAATCACTAACTTTCCCAAGGTCACAGAGTTAGGGAGTAGAGAACATAAACTCAGGCATTTGACTTCAGAGTTGTTGTCCATACCTGTTCTGACACACGTTGGCAACTCAACACTCCACACTGGCAGTCTTTGGCGATATCCTCGAGATTAACTTCAGGTTGACACCAAGATAGCAGGTTATTCTTCTCAGAAAGCTAAAGAGAGGCATGCATAAAGATGTATTTCAGTAAGGCTGATATAGTACTCACTAGGAATAAAAATACATGGTTTTCAGTCTGCCTCATCTCAACCTCTCCAACCAGCTGCTTTCTTAGAAGTTGTAGTCACGGTTCACCACACGTAAAATTAAGTGAGTGAAAAAATAATCTTGTAAAATGATCATAAAAAAATTCACTGAGAATTAATGAAATGTCACATCAAGATTAAAAGGTGAAAAATTCGAGAAGCCAATATAATTTGAAGAGTTTCCATGGAGAATTTTTTAGAAAGAAAAAAAAAGTGATTCTTTCAAAGCAGAATGCCCTGAGAATGTCTAAGCTGTGACTTGAGAAACACAAATGCCTTTCAGCCTTCCATGTACGACCCAAGGTGACTGGCACCCCCACCCCCCGCAAAAAAAAAAAGCTTTTCACTTTTTATACCTGGAAGAGAGGAGGAGAGGAAAATTCAGAGAATGTCAGCTGCAACCTGTTTCATACAAATACTAAGCACTTAAAGAATTAATAAGCACTTAAAGAATAACTGGAATTACTGCCCCACTCCACCAACATATGAAGCCTTTTTTGTGATGATGCAATTCAACTTATTATTAAAGATGGAGCTACATTTGTAAATCTCAACAAGAACTTATATTTGAATAATATTGACTTTATATATATGTACATATTTATATATTTATATTTATATATACCTATACGTGTGTGTGTGTGTGTGTGTATAACAGGTAATGTTTAAATAATATATTAGTATGTATTAATTACATATATATTACACAAAATTTATAACAATGTTTCCATATACTTTATATATATACATGTATATATACACATAAACACACACACATATATTCTCAAAGAGTATATGGTAAAGATGTGCTAGAAGTATAATAATTAACCTTACAAAGTTGGCATGCTTTCAATGGATTTTTTAGGCACTATGTATACTTAGGAATAAAATTTTTTCAATGAAAACTTCAAAACTAGATCCACGTTTTTAAATCAATGGAGAATATCAGAACATGTGAATATGTGTAAGAATCATAGCATGTGTGGTAATGAATACACATGTTACTTTTTCTAGTGGTTCCCATCCTGTAGCTTCCATTTTTATTAAAGCCCTCTACACACTCCAAACATCTCTCTCTCATGTACTTTGACTTATCTTTAGCTTCAAAGGAATGCATAATTGTTCATGACACATGAAAATCTGGAAACATACAGATTGAATAATAGGTGATGAGTTGTTACTAAGTATTAGGACCTGTATCTAAGAACAGTAAAGCAGTCATGCGTCTATTTTAGTTGTCATAATAAACTATTTCATTGTCCAAACCAGGCAATTTGATAAAGTAGATTTGACTTTGCTAGAGGTTGAAAAGTAGCAAATAATATCCTCATGTTTCATGGTTGATTCAGTTAGATCTTACACAACACAGGTCAACTCAGCATTGCGTAATTGAACTATTTTCTTTAGTTTAAAATAACCTCCTTTTATCCAAAATGAAGCACTATATCAGAAGCTTGCAATTTGTCTCGGTAATGAAGCTAATTGTGTCATCAATTATAATTGCATTGTTTGAATATGGTGATTCTAAGAAGGCTGGGCAGCAGTTCAGTCCTTCACATGAAAATGAGACAAATTATAAAACATATTAGTGAAATTTGTTTTGTCTTCTTGATTTCCAACCACCCACTGATAAACCATTATGTTGGCAGAGAAAATGGATTAAATATGTATATTAAAGTTTGCATTTTTTTCTTCAATTTCAGAATAGTTACAACTGGTTCTCTAGGTAAATGCTAGTGCCAAATTGAAGCACCTATTAAAATAATCTGTTAGTCATCACTAAATCAACTTCAACTCAGAAACCTATGACTCTGTTTTCGTAAGGAGCCATCTTTCACCTAATGCAAGTGTGTTTAATGCAACCTCATGAATCATACAATAAAATGAGAATGCCAGCCAAAATTTTCATGGTCCTTAAAGCTGGCATAATTGGTGCTCATTTTAAAGTCTGTTTTGCACAATAGTCATCCACAATCTCTTACACACATTTATTAATTTACGCTATGAAGATTTACTCAATTAATTATGTTTTAGGCACACTGCTGAGCATTAAGAAAACAACATTAAACAAGATACGCATGTTCCTTATCTTCCTAGAGCTTAAACTTACATACCTGCTAGTGTTAGGAGAGATTTCTTAGCAGTAGGACTAAGTTGCTGAAATTGCCAATTTACTCATTTACCAAGAATCTATAGAAGTACTTTTCACATTTAGTAAATAAATTGAACATTTTTATAAAGGCTGCAAAAACGTTGTTTTAAAGGTAACAATCCTCTTAAAACTTAAAGATAAGTTTGTTGAATACATTTTTAAATTTGGCGATTTGGTCAACTGAAAACCTACTGATTCAGTGAATTAATTTTTGGAAGATGCTACTGCATTGACCTAGAGATGCTTCTCTCTGCCTTTGCGGATGTCCAAACCTCAAGCTTAGCATCCTATTGCACCTCACTGTCTCACCATGAAACTGTGCAGTTATTGCAGAGGAACTGAGACCTGCCATGTACGGGATGAAACCAAGTCTCGACTAGCTGAAAAAATATACTTTTATACTAATGAAGTCAGTGTCATGCCTGGTTGTGCACTTAGATCTCTGAACTCAGCATCCAGTTCTTTTAACAAGAGCTGCTGCCACAACTTTCACGCTCAACTGCTGAGACTTGTATTTTTTTCTCATGGTGTTTAACTGGCATTACGTGGATTAATCACAATGATGATCTCTAAGACATTCTGACAGGAAACAGTCTTTCCCCAGGGAGAGCCCACTCACAGCCCATGTGGTTAGAAATTTCAGAGCAGAAAGCATTTTGATGCTTAGGAGATGCCTGGAATCACAGCACAGTGAACAGAGTAAAGAAAGGCAGTTGGTGCTTTGCCACCATGACACACTCTGGCAAATGAGGTGTACAGTCTACAGGTGGCCATGACGACTGACTTCACATACACTTGTGAGGGTGGAACAGGTATCAGATGATACGTAGGCTTACTGCTTTCATTTGTCAAACAAATATTTGAGTGGTAAAAAGCTTAATTATTAAACTTCACAGTTTAGGCCTGTCTCCATCAGTTAGTGTTTAAGGGAGCCAGATCCCACATGGCTGACCACAATTGGAACTTGAAAAACTGGGAACTTGAAAAATACACTCGGTACGTATCTTGATAGGGTGGAGAAATAGAGAACGGCTTGGCCATACCCCACTGGAGGTGCTTTCTTCCCGCCTCTCTTATTTCTCTCTGTTAAGTGCACGTACTCTCTTACAATCAACAACAACAAAAATCCTTAAACTTTACAGTTGTAACCTTCAAAATTCCAAACGTAGTGAAAACAATATTATATGACCCATAGTGAGTTTTAAACTTCTATGTGTAATTTTCCTCACCTACATGTTGGAAATTACAATCATAATTATCTCATTGGCTAGTGATGAAAACAAAATGAGAAAATATAGATTAAATGAGAAAATACAGATTAAG